CCACATACAAGGGTGTCCCCAGGAAGCAGGGCCCGCGAAGGACAAAGCAAGTGTGCCTTTGCTTCGCCTCAGTCCCCAGCACTGCCCCCGTGGGAGGAAGGGAAGGAGCTTGGCTGCGACGCCTGGGCACCACGCAGGAACCAAGATGGCTGACTGGGGCTTGGGGTGCAGGACACGGGCCTGCCACAGCCTCTCCATCTACGTGACCTCGCTGGCTTTGCTTGGGCCACTAAACGCCGAGCTGCGCCTGCCTCAGCGGCCTCCTTGCAGGGCGGGCCAAGGGAAATGCAGGAATAAGCAACGCTGGCGGGGAGGCCTGGCCTCTGGGCAGACGGCACGGCTACTGATGGCCTCCTTGTGGGCTGGACCCACTGGCATCAGCACAGGGCTCCTCTGGAGTGGCCAGTTTCGGGGGCCCCCACGCACTGAAAGGCCCCGCCACTTTCTGGGCTGAGCCTCACTGCGCAAAGCGGCCTTGGCCAAAGCCATGCTCTCCAGCACGCTGGGGCCATGGAACTGCTCCACGGAGCCTCCTCTGTGCCCCGAGCATTCTCCTAAGTTGTAGGGACTCCTAAGTGCCCCCAAAATTACCACTCGTCCCCCAAACTGGACAGTTTTACATAGATTGTCACTTTTAACTTGTGTTAACCAACAGAAAATGCCTTTGGACCACAGAGATAATTCAAGGGCAATGAAATGTCTGAACCACTGGATCCACACGGTGGGCGACTCTTTATAGCTAGCAATGATACTGAATGTGAACGTTTATGCAACCCGATAAGCAATGGCACGCTCGAGCATAACTTAAAACACGTTTTCATTGTTCAGTGAAGCGTCAAGCCAAATGCACATTTTTACAAAATGACCCCAACCCCTCTTCCATTTCTTCTTCAACTTCCCTCCTTTTCAGTGAGCCCAGAGGTACAGCTCACTTTTGCAGGTCAAGTATTTGTGGCCTGATCCTGTGCTCTGCTCTGCTGGCTCAGATTCCAGAGCCCCAGTGCTGGATCCAGGCCCCCCCCCCCCCCCCCCCAAACGCCCCCCCCCCCTTCCAATTGCGTGTCAGCTGCAAATCTGCAGAAGCACTGGAAAACTCAACGGGCACACAATTCAGCTTCCTCAGAATTTCGGCACATGTGTTTCATTTTGTACAAAAAGAAGGAAAGCCACTTCCTGTTCCTTGATGTTGTGAATATCCTAAAGGTGCTTTCTCCAAATCTGATCCCTCCACCATGGGGAGGTTTGAAGGCACCCGTTTTCCAAACTGGACACACATTCCAAAATGCGCACATGCTGCCACGGCACTGCCCTCACACGGCACACCTTGGTCCACGTTGAGGCTGGGGGCCAGGGGAGGGGGGTTCAGTTTTGCAGGACAATCAATGAGGGCGGAAAGGTGCAAAACAGAAGTTCTTCAGACCCGCGCCAACAGGGCCTCCACGCACTGCAGGGCAGCAACGGTGCACACGCCACAGGAGCAGCAACCCGCCTCCGCCCCTCTGCACGTGTGCGCCCGGCATGCGTGTCCGGAAATGCGCATTTGGGGGATGCGTGCACCGAGGCACATCTCCACCCCCACCTCAAAAGGTGCCTTGCGAGTTCCGCGGGCCACGACGTCGGCTTCCGTTGCTCTGCGGAGGCCTCGCTCGGGATCCCGCGGGAGAGCCGCGCTCCCTGCTCCGGACCGCGGCACGTGACGCCGCCTGGGGCTCCGTCGCGCCATCGCTTTCCCGCGGCCGCGGGCTCCGTGCCGCCTGGCGGCCGCGCACGCCCGGGGCCCCGGGAGCGCCGCCCGCGGATCGGGCGCCTCGCTTCGAGGGGGCGCCCCGCGGGCTCCTGCCGCGGAACCAGCACAAGCCGGCCGGGCCGTTCAGCCTCCCGCCTCTGGGGCTCCTCCCGCCAGTCGGGCCGTTGGGCACCGAAGCAGCTCCTCTCACCGCCGTCCGGACCAAAAGTTGCCTCCCGCGAGGCAGGAAGCTCGGAGGACGCCGCGCTCGCGACGGCGCCTCGCCGCCGCGGAGGACGGGCGGACGCGTGTCCGCGGGAGCCCCCGCGCGCTGCGGCGTCGACGGCGGGAAGGGGGAGCCGCCGAGGGGCGCTGGGAGGGCCCGAAGCTCCCCGGCCCAGGCCCCGGCCCCGGCCCGCAGGCCCTTCGCGGCCCCGGCAGCCCGCGCAGGCCGCCTTCCTCTGGCTCGGAGGCCCGACGGGGCCCGCCTCCCTTCTCCCGCTTTGTCCCGCGCCTCCATGAGCTCAGGCCGCCTCGGCTCGGGGAGGGACATCTGCCTCGCCGCGAGGGGGGCGGGGAGCCTCCCCGCTAAAACAAAAGGCCCTCCCGCTCGGAGGCCCCTCGACGCGGCGAGCAGACAGGCACCGGCGAGCCCCCCCGGCTGCCGCCACGCCACGCCACGCCACGCACCGCAGCCCGCCCGTCCTGGGCTCTCTGCTCCTCTCTCCTCGCCAGCATCGCTTGCGGAGCGCGGGGGGCGGGCGGCACTGGCCTTCCTGCACAGCCCCTTGTTCGGAAGCACTGCTCGGGAGAAGCTGGGGGCCTAGCCGGCTTCCTTGGAGAGGAGTTTCCCCACCGGTGGCAGAGAGGGATCCTGCAGCGGACGGACAGGCGCGGTGGGGCTGGCCCTGCATCCTCCCTTTGCTGCCCCCTTCCTGAAGGCGCCCCCAGCTGAAGGGCTGGAGGGAGTTTAGCGAAGCAGCCCAACCGGGCTGCTGTGAGCGCCTGGCTGCCCGCCGAACAGGCCGCCAGAGGTCCCCTGGCCAGTCTCCCCCGCGCCCCGCTTCTGCTGCAGTAATTGCGAAATTTGCTTCCATGCATCCAAATCCGTGTGTGCAAATGTTGCAAGACGTCCTCTGGGGGCTTCCGTTCCCCTTTGGCAGGTGGGTGATCCAAAGGTGGCCATCCAACATTGTCAGCAAGGGTAGACCCACAACTCGGGGGGCTGCTTCCTTGCATAACATGACACTGCACTGGTGGCTTACCCCACGGCAAGGTTGTGCCATGTGGGGCTGCAAGCAGCTGCCGTTTTGAGCAGGCAACCACACTAGGTTGCCACGTCAGCCAAACTTGGCAAGTGCAGGTTATGTGAAGGTTAAAGTGATTCATGGTCTGATTTAGGATTATACAAGGTTTGTTTAGCCTTCACGTAAGACTTTCTGGGTTCACACAACGTGGTGACCCATGGCTGGGATTACCTATTTAGACTGGCATCTGCAGACGCTGGGGTTCAGAGTGGGCCTGCCTGGTCTCCGGGAGGAGAAGCAGTAGGCTTTGTGACCTAGCGGACTGTCCAGTGCTGGGCGGGTTTAAATTAGAATTAGCCATTTGGATGTTTCTGATCCAAGCACCAAAATGCCTTATGTCTCTCTCTCATTTATCCTTGTCCATCTTTGCTTTGTCTGCTTGAAAGCCATTCCGAACTTAACCTAGCTCTAGTCATAAATGCAGCGGCTACAGCAGATGGAAAAATGAGTCACTGCAGATTGGCTACTTGCAAGTTCGGGCTCCGAGTCGGTGGCCCACCTGCAGTTGCACAAACTTTGCTGCTGCTCAGCCACTGGAAAGTACTGTTGCAGAGCAGCAGCAGAAGACGCCCGCCCGTCCCTGCAGTTCCCAGCAGCATTAGAAGTTGTGGGCTGCGGCATCTGGGGTGCTTCAGGCCGGGGTAAGCCGCCCTCTTCGAGGCGACAGTGCTGGGGAGGTACTGATTGCTCTGGCAGCAGCCACCTGTGCTGCCTCCCCTGTGCAAAGGGGCCCCTTTTGGACCCTTTACTCCATCAAGGAGAAAGCGATTGCCTGGAAGCTGCCTGATAGCAAACCAAGCCAAGATCCTTCTAGCTTGGAAGGGGCAACTGGTGGCCAGTGGCCACATGCCGGCCGTTGGTCTCTTCTGCCACTGCAACTTGCCCAGATGCGGCAGCAGCAAAGGGCCCCTTGCCAGAAGGAAAGGCCATTGGTGGGCGGCAGTGGCAGAGCACAGCCATGTGAGGCAAAATAGCCCCTTGTGCTGCCCCCCCCCGCAGCACCGACACTCAGTGGCAAACTGATTCGCCTTTAGAAAGGCTCCCCCCCACCGACACACACTGCCACCCTGCGATGTTTTGGGGGGGTGTGGCATGATGGCTAGCGGGGGCAGGGCCGCTGCAGCCGTGCAGTTCAGGGGCAGGGAAAATGGGCCTCTTGGAAGCTGCCGGCTCCTGATCCGGCCCGGCCCGGCCCCCTCCAGCTGGCACAGAGGTGCTCCTGGGCAGAGAAGCAAGGATGCCCTTGCTGCTGCCCTCCTTCCCGTGAGGGGTGCCGCTGCCTAATATCTTTGCATGCGAAGCGGATGATTTACCCGCTGATGCCGGACCCTCCCAAGCATAAACCTTGGGCCACAAAGAAGGGCTTGGCTTGGGCTGGAGCATGTGCTTCATGGGTGAGCTATAGATGTGAAGAGCCGAGGTGCTGCATCGGATCAAAGGTCCAATCCTGCTTCACACAGCAGCCAACCAGATGCCTCCCTCAGATCATGGGTGTCAACCTGTGACCCTCCAGGGGTTTAGGTCTATCATCCCTCACCTTTAGCACTGCCAGCTGGGACAGACGGGAGTCATAAGCCAAAGCACCTGGGGGGCCGCCCTCTGCCCCATTCAGAGTTTAATGCAGCATCGTCCCCCATGGATGCTGGTGCCCCCTGGTGCTCCACATACTTGGGCATGTGAGATGGCATGGAACATGGAATGCTCCCCAGAGAGGTCCACCTGGCACCAATGTTATGTGCTTTTCAGTGCCAGGTCAAGACCTTTTTATTCTTCCGTACGTTTAATGTTTAATTTTATCTATGCTTTTATGCTCAGTTTGTGGATCATTTACATTGTATTGTTTGGGTATCTATGTATTTATGGGATTTGAACTGTAAGCCATCCTGAGACCCACTGGCTATTGGACAGGGTAAATAAATAAATATTGTGAAGTCTTAGGTGGTGCTGGGCAGATGCACAGGTGGCTCATGCCAGTGGCAAAGTCAGGAGTGGAGGAGCAGAGAAGCCAGTGGCTGGAACCAGGCGGGCAGAAGCACCGCAGAGGTGCGCAGGGGGGAGAACGAGACACAAGACCTCCTCCGGCAGCGGCACTGCACTGGCCCTTGCATGGCCCTCGACTTCTTGGGCCAGAAGGTTTAGGGGCTGCTAATCTTCCCCATTAGACAGTATGTCAAAGCCAGGACTGTATGCTACACCTTTCCCTGGGGGGTGCTTAGGGGGCAGCTGCGGGGGCTCAAATGGGAACTGGGCCGTAGGATACAGACCAGGGGCATGCAGCCCCCCTCAAACCCCCCTGAAGGTAGGGCAGTGGCACCCTCTTCCTCCACCGATTCCCCACTCTTGCCACCACTGCAGCTTGAGATAAACCAGCAGCTCCCATGAGTTGTGACCGTGTGCTCCACGCTTGCCCAGCCTGGCCTGAATCTCCCAGTCTAAGCAGCTGGTGGGTTTTTCCCCTTCCACCAGGCAGTATATCAAGAAGTGCACGGTCAAGGCCCTGAATGGCACCCGGAAGGGTGGAGATAAAGAGGCACCGCATGGAGGGCAGAGAGCTACTCAGGCAAGGCCCGGCCTACATTTGGCCCAGGCCTGAGGCAAAGCCTGCGCACCCCTGCAATGAACCCTGTTGGCCTTCCGTGGAGTTCAGTCTGCCTGTCTCAGCATGGAAACAAGGGAGAGCTTGGTGACACCTCGGGAGGCTTGCCCTTTATGATGGCAGTTTTCATGGATGCTGCCAAGGGGCTCCTGGTCGGACTCCCAGCCTGGTCCTGACACGTCCTTCTGCAGCCGACAAAAGAAAACATGAAGCCCCAACTTACTCCGGGGCTGGATATGCGCGCTTCTCGGAGCGCATGTGTGAGTTTGGTGCCAGAATGGGCTTGGCCCCCTTCCGAAAGGGCTTCCAGGCCATGAGAAGGAGCACTTCTTGCAGTGTTCACGCAACAGCTCTATCACTCTGGGCCTCGTCTTTAGATGAGCACGGGAATCTTTAATAGGAATCGGTTACAAGATTGCTCGGAAACAAGACAACACGAGACGGGTGGGGGGTCTCCTGAGAGGAGAACAAGAGACACTTTCTCTGGGTGTTTCTAGGCGGGAGTTTTATGGGGGGGCACCTCATTTGTGGAATTTTATGGGGCGTCCAGGCGATGGCATCCTCCATTCATAACCCTCCCATGTTTTCTACCACTTCACCCATCTGTTTCCATACTACAGGAACGCCTTTGAGGAAAAAATAGGGCGAAGCAGCTGCACCCGCCTTCTCTTCCAGGGAAGGTCCAGGCTCGGCCGCAGGACAAAAGCCACACGCTCTTGCACAGGGCGGCACAGGTGCGCTCAAAAGCCGCCTTCTCCCAGTGTCCTTGTCTCCGAAGGAGACCCCTGTTTGTGAAAGTGTCTGAGGACGAGGGAGCAGAAGGCATGGATGGAGGGGGGAACCTCAGGCTGAAAGCTGCAAGGGGGCCACGGGGGGTGCAGCCAGGGCATCCCGCTCAGAACGGATCCTCAGGGCCCCAGGCGGTGCTGGGCGGGGGTCCAGCAGAGGTTCGGGGGCCCAGCCCTCACGGGCTGCTCCGGCCACTCCCCTGCTCTCATTGGCAGCGCTTGGCGCCGGCTGCCCAGAAGCTGCCCCGGACTCGGAGGTAATCCGCGCCGGGGAGCGAAGCGCTCGGCGCCTTTCGCCGCGGGTCGCCACCTGTCCCCTTCTCCACGGTCCAGTCGACGGGCACGCGCCCCGCGCGGCGCTGCCGCCCCCCCCCGGCCGCCCGCGGCCCCCGCTCGGGCGGGCCTCCCCGGCGAAGCCCCGCTCGCCGCTCGGGCTGCGCTCCACGCCCCGCGGATGCGGAGGGGTCGCTCCGCCTCGCCCCCGCGCCGCCGGCCGCCCCGGCGCGCGCCCTTCCCGGGCTGCTGCCTCCGCGGGGTCTCTGGCGGCGCCCCCCCGGCAGCGGCCACTTCCCCTCCTGGCTCCGCGCTCTCCCCCGCCTTTTCTTTGTTTCCTCCGCGTTTCTCTCCTTCCTCCCGCCCACCCCCCGCGGTCTCTTCCTTCCTTTCTTTTCCTGCCCCCGAGCGAGCGAGCGAGCGAGCGCACGACCGGCGGACCGCGGGAGCGCCAAAGGGGGTGTGTGCGCCGGCCTGCGGAACTACATCCCCCATCAGCCCCCGGGTCTCTTCCTGAGTGTCAGTTTCACGCTGCAGCCAGGGAATTTAAAACAAAAGAGGCTTCCCCCCTCCTGCTGCTGTGGCGGCCGCGCTCGGCTCGGCTCGACTCGGCTCGCCCTCTCCGCCGCCGCGCTCCCCGCCTGGCCTTCGCCGGCCCGCTTCGCCCCCCCGCTCGCACGCGCGGGGCGGCGGCGGGGGGAGACCTGGTCGGCGTTCCGTGGGGCTGGATTTCTGCCTGCCGCCGCCGCCGCCGCCGCCGCGCTCTCCGTCTCCACACCCCCTTCGGCAGCCAGGCGCGGTCTGGGAGAGCAGCGAGGGCGTTCAAAAAGAAAGGAGCGAGCGAGGGAAAGAGGGGCGATCTCCGCGCGCCCGGATCCGCGCTGGGTTGAGGGATCGGGTTACAGAGGGGGACCGAGGCGGAGAGAGAGCGAGACGGAGAGACCGGCAGGACCGAAGCGCGAGGAGGGCAGCGGAGCGGCGGGGAAAGGGGGCTTGGCCAGCAGGGAAAAGAGGGGAGGTGGGCGGGGGTCCCTCTCTCCCTCCCGCCTCTCCCCCCCTCTTTGTGCCTCCCCACCGCCCCTCTCGCAGGCTCTTTGTTCCCCCCTCCTCCCCCTCCCCCTCTCCCACCAGCCAGCCCCAGCCCCCTCCCAGCCCAGCGGCGGCAGCGGCGGCAGCGGCGGCAGCAGCCCCATCATCTCCATCCCGCCGCCGCGCCCCCCCACCCCCCTCTCTCCCCAGCCTTTGTTAGCCATGCCTAGCCTGGTCGTGTCAGGGATAATGGAAAGGAACGGGG